GGATCGCTGAGGTGAGGCCAGCCTGGGCTACGAAGTGAGTTGAAAGCCTGTCTTAGTTACTCTTCTCCCGTTGCTTGGACAAAAATACCAGACACCCAAACTGAAGGAAGGAAGGGTTTATTTAGCTCACAGGTACTGGAGGTTTCAGTCCATGTTCAGCTGGCTCTCAGGCAGAGCAGCACATAGCAGAAGGCAACCTTTCATGGTGGAGGCAAAGAGCAAGAGAGAGCTCAAGAGGAGTAGCAGCAGCTCAAACAGCTAGCTTCTCTTCCCACCTTACATTGTAATGCAAATTACCTGCCCCAGGGCAGGTCAGCATCCACACCAACAATAATCAATCACAAACTCCAGCATCTGCCCTATGACTGCATGAGGCTTTGGGGGGACAGCTATACACAAACCATAACAAATCCAGTCTGAACAGCATAGTGAAAGTAAAAACTGTCTCAAGAAGAACAGCAACAACAAAAAAGACTGCACATACTGCACACACATATTCTTTTAATGACTATTTGATATCTACTTGGGTATATTTATTCTTCAGGAATAATTTGTACAGAAAAGAATAGTCAAAATAACAAAATGAGCATGCAGCTTTTCTAAACAACAAAAGCTGAAGCCAACACCTCCCCATCAAAAGGTGATGCCTACATACCAGTTGCCAAATTTACCATGAAATGCTGTAAAACACTTGAAAAATAAGACCTTGATGCTGCTGCAGAAGAGTCACTAGGAGACATCATTAAACAAACCAAATAATTCAAAGAATGATCTTCCATTTGGGGTCCTGCCCCTTAGCCCAGTTCTTTAAGTGGCTGCTGCAACAAAGCAGTCAGGCTCAGATTGCTGTGGTTCGATCCCCACAACTCAAGCCAGCCAAACCTGCCCTGAAGGCATTCGGAGCAAAAAAAAAAAAAAATCCTTCTGTAAATTGAAAACTATAAGTTTTCCACCAACGTTGTTTATTTTTATCATACATCTTGTTCCACAAAATACATATAAGAAGAATAATCTGTCAAGGGTGTGCTATTTTCTTAAATTCTCACTGAGCAATTTGCTAAAAGTTTAAATAGCCAATATTCACTTTTTTAGTGATCCCCAAGCTGTAACAGCTACCCAGATGGTGGTGTTCCTGTCTCAGTTTTTAGAATTTCAGATTGACTAAAGAATTTCCATTAGAATGGCCAAAACTGTCACAATACTTTCTGTTACTAAAAATATCCTATGACATAGAATAACAAATGGCATAGGACATATAGCTAAAAAAACATAAAATAAAATTTATTTTACTATTAGCATTATATTAAAGCAAATGGCAGAGACAATTCAAATTAAATGAGATGGGAGGAGATTTGACACAAATTAAAATATTTTTTGAGACAGCGTGGTGATGTGCACCTGTAGTCCCAGCTTCGTGGAGGCTGTAAACAGGCAGATCACTACAAGTCCAAACTAGTGGTGAGATCCTGAACATTCTGCAGACCCTTAACTAAAATACAAAAAAAAGGAAAGAAAATGACAGGTAGGATGTAAATATACATTAGGGTCGGCCAAATAGCTCAGTGGATTAAAGAGTCTGCAAGCAGATGCAAGGGCCGGGTGGGGGGGTTCAATCCCTGGGCCTGCTGTGCTAGCACCGCCCCCGGGGACAGACTGAGATGGGCTTTGAGACTGGGCATGCTGGCTTGTGCCTGTATCCCCAGCTCTTGGAAGGCTATAAACAGGCAGATCACTACGAGTCCGATCTAGTAGTAAGACCCTGCACACCCTGTAGACCCTTTCCTAAAATACAATATGTATATATTTATTTTTTCATTTGTCATTCTTCAAATATTGGTTAAGCTACCTGTGATCAAATTCTACATGTGTATTCAAAGTAGAGTTTATCTGAAGTTAGATTTCTTGTGAGATAGGTCTGCTACTTTTTGACTTGACCCTGCAGTATTTACATCAAAATTCTCTGACCTCTGATGAAGTTTTCTTCCATTACAGACAGTGGAACTAGGCGCATCCTCCCTGACTAAAGCCCTCTATTCTTATGCTAGTAACTATTTGAATGAACTGTGCTATATTCAGTATTTGTCCTCTGTCCTGGTCATATTTTTCAAAGAAACAAATTCTAGCTATTGCCATAAAATTGTAAAGTACTGTATTGCTATGCAAAAATAGAAGGAAGTTTTGTTGTTGTTGTTGTTGGTTTTTTTTTTTTTTTTTTTTTTTTTTTTTTTTTTTTTTTTTTTTTTTTGCAGAACCAGGGATTGAACTCAGGCTTTTGCGTTTGCCAGGCAAGTGCTTATTCTACTGAGCTATCTCGCTGGCCCTTAATTTTATTTTTAAAGAGAGTACGAAATAGTATTAAAAAAGTTACAGATGATACATAATTTCACTAAAGAAAATAACATGAATTTTACAGTATTTGTTGTGTTGCATAGTGTCCTTTTCAAATTAGTTGTTCATATTACCAGATATAAGCATGCAAAATTGGAAGAAGAGAAAAAGAAAGAAATATATAAGAAATTAAGAGAAAAAGGACAAAGAGTTGAGAAAAGGAGACAAAACAAATTAAGCACCAACTGCTCCTTCCCACAGACCAGCAGAAATCCACAGCACAGTTGGCCAAACCATCCTGCTTACATACATAGAGAATCTCTTTCTCCTACTCCCTCTCCTGTCCGTTTCCTCAACTCAATAATTCCTTAAAGGAAGATTTTTATCATCCATTATTCTACCAAATTGCTTGCTTTATCAAATATGCATGTTTCTTCAACAACAGCATACAACAGCATTTTCTTCAACAAATAGATAACAAATTAATAATAAGAATATTCATCTTATGTTCTGTATGAAACATAAGACTCAGAAAAATAAAGAATTGCAACTATGTACATCTATAGAAGATCTTTCATTTCTTGGGGTGTTTAATTTTTATTTATTTTGAACAGTATGTATTAGTTATGCAAAACAGTGGGTTTCCCCCAGAGACACTGTACAGTAAAAGCACATAACAGACTATAATCACCCCTCTTCCTTCACCCCCCTTTGATTCCCATCATCTTATCTAACACTCCTTTGTTAGTCTTTAAATTAAACTGTCTTCTAAAGAATATCTTCTGAGGTTACATGAACTGCTGTTATTGTGGAAATCAACTTTTCTTAAGAAAGATTAATATTTTTAATTTTAATTTTTATTATTATCATTATTGCTACAGGATCTTGCTATATAACTTGGACTCCTAGGTATCCTCCTGTATCAGCCTCTGCAGCTCTGTGGTTACAGGCATGCGCCACCATACCCAGTTTCCGTGACCAGTACGGCTCTTGGGGCTGCATGGCTTGGGGTACTGGGGATTGAACTTTGGCCCTTGTGCTTGCCAGGAAGGTGCTTAGACTGCCAAGCTATCTCCCCAGCCAGATTAGTATTGATTTGGTACTAAAAATTGAATTTTTTTTTGGTACTAGCATTTGATCTCATGACTTTGTGTTTACCAAGCAGGCATTGTGCTGCTGAGTTATATCCTGGGCTCCAAAAATGAAAATTTCAAGAAAAATAATTCTATGCAGTGAATTCAAGGAGTGGATCTTTTATTAATCCTGAAAGAAGTCTTGGTCTTGTGCTCAGTCCCACAGGACATTATATTAATAGTCTGTTTTGGTTTTGTTTTATAAGAGAAGTCCTTCATATGTTGTTCAGGCTGGCTTTGAACTCACTATGTAGCCCATGCCAGTCTCAAATTCTCAATGATTCTCCTGCCTCAGCTTCTTGAGTGCTGGGATTACAGGCATGAACCACCACACTCATGTTAACAATCCATACATAAAGTATTTCACAATAACATCCAGTACAAAACTCATTTTTATAGCCATGGCCCTGAATAAAACAGTCTGAAAGTCCTCTCTTACCAGGGGAGTCTTAGGCCATCCAGGGAACATGGACGAGGGGTGAGGAGGAGGGGATGAGAAACAGGGAGAATGAAGGTGTGCTGTGTACGGCAATCTAGGAACCCCGGGGAGTACAAACACGGTATGCCATACCACGAGCTAGGACAATGTCAACACGGATGAAAAGTGGGATAGGGGACCTAGAGGCGAAGGGAGGGGAGAAGAATAAAAGCAAAACAGAAACAGGCTGGAATTGTACCTGTAACCACCCCCCAAGCTGACTGCCAGCCACATGAACTGCAAACATGTACACATAAAATAAAAAATGTTCAAAAAGAAACTCAAACACAAGAGTCTTCTCAGATGCTAGAATTCACTCCAGCAGAAGAGCTGACTCCGATTTTTACAAGTATGAATTTAGTTAATATGCACGTCAATCTTCTGAACCTCAGAGCTTGCCATGTTTCCGTTTCCCTCTGCAGTTTCTCTGGCAATTGGAGATGGTTCCCACAGATAGTCTTCGGGCTTGTAAGGAAGTAGCAAACCCTGCTGTCCATTTATAAGGTTTCAGAGGTGGGAGTAATGGGCAACTCTAAATTAAATTCAGAAATTTCCCTAGAAACAATCTTCTCCACCTTTCACCCTGCCCTTGAACACACAAACACAAACACGCACCCACAACTACATGCACCTTTCCTTTGCCAAAGGCTTAGCAAAAAAAAAAAAAAAAAAGGCTTAGCAAAGTCAGTAATATTTGACTACTTCCCGATGGTAGTCGAGTTACTGTTTACTCTTATGCTTTTCCTTCCTTCTACGTGGGAACCTTCAGTTCCATCTTTCATGAGGTCTGTGTGTGCTGTTCGAAGTACTTTTAGGTACATTATTGTGTATAGCTTGCCTAACCAGATACAGAAGACAGTGCTATTATTTTATTTCACAGAGGATAACTGCCTTACTTTGAAATTACTGAGCCCAAATGTTTTTATGTGTTAGCTTCTCTGTACGAAAGGAAACATTTTGGTACCTAACCTGCCAGCGTGACATATTTCTCCCACAAGACAAATTTCCCCCAAACTGTGTACACATCACATTGCTTCTTCGTAGTCACAGGTGCTGAATTATTAAACAAGTTTCTGAGCATGGGACATTGCCATAGATGCCTTCATCCGGAAACCGTACTTGGCCACTTTGTCCCGAAATTCCTTTGTTTTTACTCCATAAATAATAGGATTGAGCATTGGAGGTACAAGAAAGTAGAGGTTGCCAAGAATCGTGTGGACATGGGGTGGAATAGCCCTGCCGAAGCGGTGAGTAAGAAAGGAGAAAAGTGAGGGAGTATAAGAGACCAGCATGACACAGATATGTGTGGTGCAGGTATTGACTGCTTTGTGGTGGGCTTCTTTAGAAGAGAGGCGCATTATAGCCTGGATGATTAGTGCGTAAGATGAAGCAATCGCTGAGATGTCCAGCGCAACGACCAGCAAAGCCACCACCAGGCCATACATGCGGTTGACCGTGGTGTCCACACACACTATCTTCACCACGGCCATGTGCTCACAGTAGGTGGTTTGAATGGCACGATTGGCATGAAAGGGCCTATGCTGGAGCAGGATGGGCATGGGGAGAATAAAGAGGATGGCTCGCACTAGACTCACCAGGCCAATGAGCCCAATGCGGCTGTTGGACAGGATGGTGGCGTAATGCAGGGGCTTGCAGATGGCCACGTAGCGGTCAAAGGCCATGGTGGTCAGGACAGCTGACTGCATGGCAGAAATGGAATGAATGAAGAACAGCTGGAGCAGGCATCCTTCATAGCTAATCCTATTCTGGCTGAACCAGAAGATGCACAGCACCTTGGGAATGGTGGTGGTGGACATGCCCAGGTCCGTCAGCGCTAGCAGGCAGAGGAGCAGGAACATGGGCTTGTGCAGGGAACGCTCTGTGGAGATGGTGAAGAGGATGGTGCAGTTCCCCAGCACAGTGATGAAGTAAATGGAGGAGAAGGGGATGGAGATCCATTTGTGTTTGTCTTCCATTCCAGGGATGCCTTGGAGAATGAAGAAAGAGGGATGGTCAGTGGCGTTGCAAGTGCTCATGGTGGCAACCCAGGGATGTACCTGAGGGAAGAAACTGCCTGAGCTTCAATTTAAATTTTCAATAATTTGAAACTGGAAAACCAAGATTAGAATATTAAGGCGTGCAGAAAAGATTCTGAAGTCATAAAGCAGTAGATTGTAACATGACAACAGTAATCACACAGTATAACGACATCGACATCTATGAGAATATATTTTATAATAAATTTTTATTAATAACCACTCATTGATAAAATGATATCTTAACACATTTATAGTTTAAAAATAGATGTGTTTTCACTAAAAAATAACTTGAAGTATATAAAAAAGGGTTAGAAATACAAAAAACATTAAGATGAATTAAAGTGCATAATAAAATCTTACAACCAAAATTTTGCAGAACACACATTTTTAGCAGATATGGGATCTGAGAGAGAGCAGGCCTTTTTGATGCGAGCTCGGCATGGTGGTGGAGAGTGGAGTAGGGAGTCTCAAGAGACCAGCCCGCTGGAGTGTGAAGCTGAAGCCCCCCTCACAGAGAAGCGCTCACCTGAATATGAGGCAGAGAGAGCAGGCAGCTGGCTCCCGACTCCTGCTTCCGGTGTGCTGGGTGGGTGGGTACGTATGCGTGCGAGTGTATTTCAGCTGACATCTCTGTGGATGAGCGTACCCATGGGCCTGCATCCCTTTACCCCTCACTATCTGGCACGCAGGATCCATCATGTAGCTCTTTAAGTAGCCAAAGAAATGTCTCCCGGGGATTTCAGATTAGCTTCTTGCTGCTGTGCAGCACACATGTGAGTTTCTGCTACCATTGTGCTTGCAGTTGACCCTGAGGGTTGCCTGGACTCCCAGAAGAGGCTAAGTGACCTTAGAGATTCTGAGCATCCTCAGTCCTCGCTGGCTTCGGAGGAGCTTGGGGAGACAGGGCAAATTTAAAGCTGATTCAGTGGACAAATAAAGGAACTTCCAGAGGAGAAGGAGAGGGAGGGGGAGAGGGAGGGGGAGGGGGAGAGACAGAGCAGAGACAGAGACAGAGACAGAGACAGAAAGGCAGAGAGGCAGAAGAACATGTAGTCTTAAAATAGGAGGCAATCATCACATTTGGACTAGGAAGAAATTCTGCTAAATGAAATAAACCTGGGGCAGAAAGAAAAATATGTGATAAAACCTATGTGTAGTATAGAAAATAAAAATGCCAAAGTGTAGACAAAAAGTTAATAGTGTGTAGCAACCAACACATTTTTTTTAATGGGCAAATTATAGCTTCTCTTGACCCAGGGGCGGAACAATGGGTACATTGTGTGAGATGCTGGGCACGGGGGCTGGTTTCACAATCATCACTATTCTCACTACGGGCGCATCTTACCACACTCTATTACTTCTGGAATGATCATGCCCAAGATAAAATCAGTCACTACCCTCCATCGTGAGCACCTAACCAAACAATGATTAATAATGATAACAATAATGATAATGATAGCCGTCCCCAGCCTCTTCTGTCTTTCCCTGGCCAACCTTTGTGCCCAGTCAGTGGCTTTGTCTTTCATGTTCTCTGGCTCCCATCTGCAGTCCTAATCCATTCTCACAGCCTCTTTCATTCCAGGCCCGCACCCCCCTACTTCTAGTCCAGTTGTGGGCGCATAGTTTTTTACATATGTTAAGAGGAAGCAAATATATTCAAAATTTTTAAAGCATTTTACCAAAGCCACTACAAAATGCAGAAGACGAACCAAAATCACAAACCATAAAAATCTCAATGGAAATCTGACTCTGAGAGCCAGATTCTAAATCCTGATGTAATGTTACTTCTGCCTATAGAAAGACTTTAATGAGAGTTTGGTAGGAGGGAACCAAGAGCAAAGGAAGGTGAATCGCAAATTAAGTGGCTCATGAAAATAATACATTGGCAGAAAGGTCTGTAAGTAAATGCCACTGAGTACTGACAGTACTCACCGCACATAGGTAGCTTTCCTATGCAGAAGATCATGCCTCTAACAATGTTCAGAAATCCTGAATTCTGTTCTGTCTGTCCTCTTGTGGTGGTCAGGACCTGAGGAGGTCCTGACAGGTGATAATGGCAGCAGCCTTCCCTCCTGGTCTTCCTCTCCCACTGAGTCCGCTATTTCCCTAAATCTTGTATGGCAATCACTCCTGTCGTGTTCAGAATGGAGTGGGCACATAGTAAGTAATGAATAAATACAATATTCATAATACAAGCGAGTGGATAAATTAGCAAATCAGTTCATTTGGAAATAAACTAAAAATGTTCCTGCTTCACTAGCTTTAACTCATTTTTTTCTGTGTATATAGAAGTTCAAAACCCAAGTATGTGTGAAGGTTATTCCCACTTAAATAAATTTATAAAATTTAGTGAAAATTTAAACAAATATCAATGATTCATGTCTATAGACTCTTATAAAAATTATAATTAAATGCAAAAATATAACTAAATGCAATAGAAGGAACAAGTACTTAAAGATAAAACTATGGGGCTGGGGACATAGCTCAGTAGAATAAATGCCTGCCTGTCAAGCACAGGGTCCTGAATTCAATCCCCAGCACCATAAATAAATAAATAAATACCTATGACAGAGGAGTGCTTGACAAAAATGATTGATAGACTATAAAACTGTTACATATCAAATAGTGAGGTTATAGTGCGTGCAAAGGAGGATTACTTGGAAGGAATTATATCAATACAAATGCTCATTTAAATGTATTAATTATTGAAACTGTCCTATTAATCGGTTTTGAAACTATCTTATTGCTATTTGTTTCTCAATAAAATTCATAATAAAAAATGTTCATTTATATGTGCATACATTATATTAAAAAGATAATACTATAAAATGAAAAAATTGTATAGTTAATACTATGGAAAATAAATACACATATATTTATAATATCAATTATATTTTCATACCAAATTTTTTAAAACTATCTCTTTTTTATTATTTTGACTTATGTTGAAAATGTAAGTGAAATTTTCAGTTGCTCTTAAAAAAGTAAATAGTAATTAATGAATTTACTGTTATACTCAAAATCATCTACTTCATACCAAATTTATGTAACTTTTATTTAATCTAATTTGTTAAAACAAAATTTAGGGAAAAAATAGAACACAATACAGGAATATAGAATCACATTAAGAAATATATCAACAAAGCAAAAACTTATTTATTCCCTTCCTATGTATATTTGCATTTCTTTAGAAATCAATTTCATCATTCCTATAACAATTGATACTTTTATACCATTATTACATATAGGGATTCTAAATAGTGTGCCTTGTTGGAGAGTATAATGTAAGTTTAGATACATTTTATTATGTCATGTTTTTGCATTTTGATTCTGGTCCAGTGTTACATCTCTGAGATATCTGTATTGCATTCATTCAATGTAATACAGATATCTACTGCATTGAATTGAATTTTAATTACTACTATATAGCCATTATCAAAAAATTTAACAGAGTATTTTGAACAAAAGAAATATTCAAGACTAACCACATGTTGCTTTCTGAACAACTCTCTTATCAATAACATTCTGACAATCATTCAAGAGGAATGCAGAAAGGAGTGTTTTGGAGGTTGGTCTCCTCTGCTTTTGGCCAACAGGGTATAGTGACAAATTTTTTTAAATCTCACCAGCAATTATTCTATGTTGCTCCCAGTTGAACATAAGACCTCTCGTTGAATATGAACAATATATAGACCATCCTGTGGAAAAGTCTGAATCAAGATAAACAGAAGCTGGGGCTGGCCAGATAGCTCAGCAGATTAAAGCTCCTGCTTAGGCAGACGCAGAGTCTGGGGTTCAAGCCCCAGCCTCTCATGCCAGTCCCACCCCCAGGGCACCCTGAGTCAGTGATTGAGATTGGGCATGGTTTCATGCACCTGTAATTCTAGTGCTTGGGAGGCTGAAAACAGGAGGATCACTATGAATCCGATCTGCATAGTGAGATCCTGTTGACTCTGCAGACCCTGTGCTAAATAAAAAAAGAGAGAGAAGCCAATGAGATTTAATCCTTCCAGTAGCATGAGTAGCTGCTTCTTCTTTATAGATGTTAATTATGCTGTTCATATTCATATTTCAGAAATTTAAACAGTGTATCTGTTTAAATCCACAATTGCCTACATTTAAAAAATTTATATAATCTAGAGTGGCTCCAAACTCCAAAGTTCCTTGTTTAAGTCATTGAGCATAAGTTCACCCTGAATAACAAATACCTCTCTCCTCCTTCTCTTGCTCTGAGTTCATCATTGATCCTGCCAGAGTGTGTGTTCACCTACTGTGGTAGAATGATAAACCTAAGTTTTTTTTTCCTGGTAGTCTTAGGTTGATGAGTTTTGTTAATTTCCAGAAGAGAAGATAGTTGTTACAGACATAGCTTTCCTTTTCCTAATATGTAGCGAAGATCTCTTTATATTTTAGGGGTTTTGTTTCTTTACTTTGTTTTACATGTTTCTTATTTTTTATCTTTTGATAGAATTTTTCCATTTGGATGGCCTGCTAACACTGAAACCATGAAGAAATGAAGTTATGGGAAGGTTGTACCTTTTTGCCTGTACCCAATGGAAGACAGCTTAAATCAAGAAGGATCAAAAAGTAATGATTCGTTCAGCATCAGAAGCAGAACAGAATTATCATGTGCCTATTTTCTTCTTTGCTCTGATATTAGTATATTTTACCGTGTCATCACAATTGCTATGATTTGTGATAATTACTATAGCGAACTATTGGTCTCTTGGTGTGATCTGTTGTACCACAGGGAGAAATGGCAGCAGGAATGAGGAAAAGACAGACAAGACAAGAGCTGGGTCAGGTGGTAGCCCATCTGCCTGGTTGGTGAGATGACCCCCAAACAACAGTGGGTGGTTTATTTATACCTTTGTAAAGTTGTAAGACACAAGGTTGACTATCAACAAAATCCAGGCAACATGTTTTTCTCGAGACTGAGGTAGCTTGACCACTTAAAGCAACGAGGCCTCACCCTGCCCTCACATACAGGATCAATTTCAGCTTCAGCAGCTCTCGACAAATTACATTATTTTTTCTCCCCAGATTGTGAAGTTCTTAGGCACTATGCCTTATTCACCTGTGAAGTTACATTATGCCTCCTAAATGGTTGATCCATACTCTGGTTTCTCTTCAGATCATGTAAATCTTTTGCCTTTTACTAAATGGTTGATCCTCAATAAATATTTCTGGATGGATGCTTAATTGTAATAATAAGTGAAACAGCAATGCTTATTTAAACTTCTTGGAACAGGTATGTTCTCTTCAGAAAGCTGAATAGAAATTTTCCAGGATGGGCAGAGAAATGAATGGAGAGTTACTTCTCAGTGGCCACGAAGTTTCTTTTCAGGAGGATGAAAAGTTTTATCATAGGTTATAATGACAGTTACACCACCAATTATTGTGAAAATAATTAATGTCACTAAATTACACACTTAAAATGGACAGACTAACAAATTTTATGTTATATATATATTTTGCAATATCACAATAAAGTTGTGGCCTCTCTTTTTATCACCCTTTTGATCAAATACTATATTGAACTATACTGAACTAACTTCACTAGGTTGGGTTGAAGAATTTAGAAAAAGAAAGAGATACAGATACTACAGCGGAAAGATAAAATAAATG